AAAAAAAAAAAAAAAAAAAAAAAAAAAAAAAAAAAAAAAAAAAGGGCACAAGGAGTAGCCTTCAAAATATGTGAGCGCTGAGCGGCAGGCTACTCGCAGGGTGGTTGCAACGGAGCTATGCTTGGGGGGGCGGTAGGCACAAAGGGGGCCGAGATGGTGCTGTGCACAGTTGCATAATCAGTTCAGGTCATCTGGGCGGCCGCGTGTGAACGGTGATCCCCTCATATGTACATATGTGTACATATATATATATATACATATATATAATTATTTTTTAATTTTTTATCTTAACATTTCCTCGCCTTCGCACTGGACAAGTGTTAAATACTCTACAGTGGCAACGATCTGCAGGCAGCTACAACTGACTTGGTTCTATCACCTCTATGCGTAACCACGCATGTGCAGGTCAATCCCAAATCGGCTATGCATTTACAAGTGCTCGTATAATGATTGCAGTTGCTCGATCTATGTGCACACAGAACGGAAGGCTGAAACTGCTTCTCCTGTTTTGTGCGCTTTAAAGTGCGGGAGGGAGGGGGGACACACACGCTCAGTGCCTAGCTGTACCACAAAATATGCATATGTGTATATGTATAATATGTGTACATATATATATATATATATGTTATAAAAGCATGTGTGCAATCCGGTAAAGAAGAAAAAGAGCGCAATAGCGCACAAATCAATCAGTGAACACAAAAGGAACACATTCACGAACGAATATGTAAAATGGGGTGGGGGCCAAGAAAATAATTCTCGATCGACGTTACAAATACATGTGGACGTTTGCGCTTGCCGTTTATGTATACGTTTTTGTGCAACACGTTTTTACGTGTACAACTCGTGCGAACAATTTCGCCATTCACAGCTTTCGATCAAGGGGGGGGGAAAAAAAAAAAAAAAAAAAAAAAAAAAAAAAAAAAACAAAAAGAATTCATAAAAAAGAAATAAAAAAATAAATCACACGAAAAATGGTGAGAAGAATGACATTAATAAGAGGAACGAGTCAGTTTTAATTTTGCGGAAGAAGAGACAACTAAAAGAGGTGATTTGTTCATTTTGAA